TAATAAGTACCGCAGAATTAATTATAGCTCTTACAACCATTGAAGATGACGAGACTATCTCGCATACACAGTTTCTTATGTATTCATCGATTTACAACTTATTATACTTAGATACATACTGCAACAAAAGACTGATCAAGCGAAAAATATGAAAGTAGTTTACATGGTGTCCTTTAATCGAAAAAGAGATATAGTGAAATCAAATGTTATTAAAAATTGAAGCAAAAATTGAGACGAATCATATACCGTTTCTTTGTTTTGAACAACGATGAAGCGATAAACCTTGACGCATCTTCCGCGCGACAAATAACGTAAATAATGTACATTAATAATATAATGTGTTACGCCGAAATCGAGAAGCACTTATGTATTGTTAACGGCGCATGATAATAGTGTTTCAATCCATTTTGCGGGTACAATAAATGTCCCCGGCTTTGTTACCGTAAACAGAATAATAAATAAAAAAACTCACCGGCGGTAGGAAAGTATCTGTCAAAAGGTCCGCCGCGTTTAATCGGTGAAAGCGAGTGCGAACGCGTAGAGGCTGCCGCCGCCTGCAACGCTGTCTCCAATTCTCTGGCCAACTAAAGGTGGCCGCGACAAGCGAACCCCGGACGAATAAAAAAAAACAGAAACTATCTTGTTAAACTAATCGCAACAGCTATCCTCTTTAGACGTGTCAATCAATAGCCATTCTCTTCGACGTCCCTTTTGCGGAAAAATTAAACAGAAACACCGTCTGGGCTGTGGCGGGGGGTAGGGACGGGGAAGCAAAAACGAAATAGAGTACACGTCAACCGGGAAAAAATCGTAACCGATCGGAAGGCACTGTTGGCATTTTCTTTTTCTCTTTAAGAGTGCAACAACGGAAACGATTCTCACGTTCTGTAAGGTGCTATAGAATAACTAAAAAATTAGGAACGAATTGGGGAAATGGTTTCTACCTGATAGTGTCAGATAGAGGTCATATATGGTTCCTCGCCTTACTGGTGGCAGGCGCTTGCTGCGTTGGCTGTTCAGAGCCATCGCAACGTCCGCTTCCAGGTATCGCCTCTGCTACAAGGTCCTCTTTGTTACGCGCATTTCTTCCGCAAATATAGGTAAAATTTTTTACTTATCTCTATTAATAGTATTCATCAGAAACGACGACCTCTTTACATTATTTTTATCTTGAGGCTTAGCGACGTGACAACGGCAAAAGGTCAGTAAATGAAAAATCGCGAATTGATTTCTTTTCTTTTCTCGTTTATACTTTTAAGATAGTTTCTTCGAAGCATATTTAGTGCAGCGATTTTTATGGCATGTATCATTAATTTATATGTAACAAAATGTACCTTGTAATGACCCCATGTTTGAGAAATACAAACGCTGATTTCACATTTGATATCCATGAGAGGCAACTAAATATTGTGAAATTTGCAACTAGGTATTGCAAAACGAATTTTGTTAATAACAGAGGATACTATACCTCGAAGTCCAATAGCGCTTCCTCTTCGTCTCTCTTATAATATTCAATGTTAATGGTAATTAATCCTTCGGTGTATCCCCGAACAGTGATTAGACTACCCTTGGGACCTGTGTACAGGACCAAGAAGCTACCATCAATATTCGATTCAGTTAGTGGCTTCAAGCCATTGAAATGTTCTTGAAGCACGTTAGCTATTGCTGATTTTAGATTGGAACGTTTCTTTTCATCTAACACCACATCAGATGAAACTGAGAAGTCAAGAAGCACTGTATGGGCAACCATTGTATATAAA